AACTCTGGGCCTGGGCGCTGTCCCTCAGCTCTTCAGCTCAAGGCGAGCGCTCTACCACTTGAGCTACAGCGCCACTTCCGGTTTTCTGATGGTTTTATTGGAGATAGGAGTCTCACGGTCTTTCCTGCCCGGGCTGGCTTTGAACCGCGATCCTCAGATCTCAGCCTCCTGAGTTGTTAGGATTATAGGCGTGAGCCACCAGCGCCTGGCTGGGTCTCATTTTCTAAAGTGCTCATCGGGTTGCTGAGTGATCTGGGTTTCAGTTCTGGTCCTCTCTCTCTGCCTTGAGACTGGTCAATTCTCCACCACCCACCACCCTCGGGTCAGAGACCTCCAGGCAAACCTGCAGTCTAGAGAGCAAAAGGCTGCTGTGCACAGCCATCAACGTGGCTGCTTTACAAATGGCATCAGCATCATTGCAGCAAGAGAAATGGACACAAAGTCTACCCCAGGACTAAAGAGCTAAAGTTCTATGTTTTCAAGTTATATAACAGCCAGGCATGGTGGTGCATGCTTGGGATTCCAGCACTTGGGAGGCTGTGTTAGGAGGAGGATTGGGAGTTGGAGGCTAGCCCTTGTTACACAGCAAGACTGTTATCTCTACATCCATCCATCCATCCATCCATGAAGGTATTTACTTCAAATAATTCGCTAGGGGTTACCCAACTACCCACATGCTTGTCATTTATTTCACAACTTCCCTAGAAAGATGAGTTTCTGGAAAAAAACTTTGTTTTATAATTATATATCTGTAAGACTTCCAACTCCCATCTCTTTCCCACCTGTTTCATTCCTTCTCCTAGGCATAGTTAAAACAATGATTTATCCTTGTTTTTTATGAGACAGGCTCTCACTACGAACCTAGGCCGCCTCACCCCTGCGCTCCTTCTCTACAGTGATGGCATCATAAGCACACACCACCACATCGACTTATCCTTTCGCTGTTATTTATTTGTCAGTTGTGGGTTTTGAGCTCTGGGCCTGGGCACTGTCCCCTCAGCTCTTCATCTCAAGGCTAGCACTCTTCTGCTTGAGCCACAGCGCCACTTCTGGTTTTCTGGTGGCTTACTGGAGATAAGAGTCTCACAGATTTTCCTGCCCAGGCTGGCTTTGAACTGAGATCCTCAGATCTCTGCCTCTCCTGAGTAGCTAGGATGACAGGCGTGAGCCACTGGTGCCTGGCTCTTGTTTTTATTTTTAAAGTTACTTTTCTTTGTGGTGATATTGGGGTTTGAACTTAGGACCTAATACTTGCTAGGCAGGCAATCTACCACTAGGCCATGCCTCTAATCCAAATTAATATTCAACTGGGGCATAAAAACATAACAACTGGGTGGTTTACACTTGTAATCCTAGCTACTTAGGAGGCTGAGATCTGAGGAGTACAATTCAAAGCCAGCCTGGGAAGAGAAATCTGAGAGACTCTTATATCCAGTTAACCAGCAAAAAGCCAGAGGTGGAGCTATGGCTCAAGTTGTAGAGTATCAGCCTTGAGCTGAGGTGAGGAAGGAATGCTAAGCAAGAGCACATGGCCCTGAGTTCAAGTCCCAGTATTGGCACAAAATCAAAACCCATAAAAACCTAACAATTGTAACTACTAATGGGGTAACATGATGTTTCAATACGTGTCTACATGACTGATGTTTAAATCAAGTTAGACAAACTTCTCAAGTGCTTTCATCTTCAACATATATTACTATTCCCTTTTTAGATAAATCATCGCTCAGCGAGGACTTTACTCTGTTAAGCAGTATTTCTTGTGGCTCCGAGCTAGGTTTTGTATTATGCCAATACACTAGTTTTTGTTACTGATCCCTTTAAAGGGTGTCTGGATTTTTCTTATTCTTTGAATATTAAAAACAGTGTTACAATAAACACTTCCCCATTTTTTCTAATTTATCTTTAAGATAAATTCCTAGAAGTGGGTTGTGTCTGGGCTGAGGTCAAGCCCTAGGGCTATCAAAAACCAAACCAAACCAACCAACCAACTAAACCACACCAAAAGCCCACTTTTCCCCCTAAAAAAGTAAGTTCATATACTGAAATAATGAGAGATTCCCAGGCAGAGCTGAAGCCGAACCTTCATCTTATGCCACATGAAAAAATTAACTCAAAATGGACCTAAAACCTAAACAGAGGAGCTAAAACAATTAAACTCTTAGAAGAAAACTAGAAAATCTGCATGATTTAGATTTGGCAATTTTTAAAAATATGATACCAAAAGTACAAGCGATGAAAGAATAAACTAGATAAAAATAGATAAAATTAAAAAGTTTGCATCTATTAGGATTATTTTTTATATAAAAAAAAAAGTCGAGCCTGGTGAGGCTGAGGAAAGAGTCCGTGAACAGCTTGGACACAAGCCACAAGTCCAGGGGCTTGAACTCAGGGCTTGGGTGCTGTCCCTGAGCTTTTTTGCTCGAGGCTAGCATTTTACCACTTTAGTAACAGCACTACTTCCAGTTTTTTAGTGGTTAACTAGAGATAATAGTCTCACACCTTTCCTGCCTGGGCTCGCTTTGAACCTCGATTCTCAGATCTCAGCCTTCTGAGTACCTAGGATTACATGGAAAATGTGAGCCACCAGCACCCAGATGAGATTTCCTAGTTGCTCTTCTGGGACAGTGGTAAACTGTCAGTGTGCTTCTTACTTCTCCTTTAGAACTCATCATCCAATTTTAGGTGCAAGGTCACAGATGAAAGGAAATGAAGATTTGCTGTTCAACTTTACCTTTCCATGTGGCAACCAGCTTAGGATCTGAACCCGTGAAGCATGGCCGGCTTCTGGAAAGAACGCCTTTTCCAAAGTAACCCTTTGGGGAAAAGGGCACATGGTTAGTCAGGCGTGCTTGTAAATCCCACCAAAATGCTACCAGCGCCCCGCCAAAACCACCTCCGCTGGAGAACAGCCAACACCAAACCTGGCCTCCTTCCAGCACACAGAGGGAAAGAGGACTGAGAACATTCGAAGCCCCTCCCACCCTTCCATCGCCCCCAGCTGGGCTCCTGGAACCCACTCCTCCGGGAACAGAAGGCAGGTGAGTGAGGGTCATTTCCACACCTCCACAAACTACTTGGCTTTATTTTTATAACTGAACCACGAAGGTCAAGCCATTGACCCCATTTTATTGTCGAGAGTGGGCTGTGAGTGGCTAATCTGACAAAGGTGACCCCGCCCTGCTTGGCTCCTGGCAGGATTCGGGTGAGTGGTATGACTTCTGGAGCTTCTGGGGGTGGGTGGCACCGCTTGGGAGCTGGCGAAGGGCGGCGGGCTCAGGGCGGGCAGGAGGTAGCCGCACTTACTTTCCCGTACAGCTGCTTCATGTCCTCCGAGCGCCTCACGATCACCCTGCTGTTGATGAGCTCGGCACGGAGCTGTGGGCATCCCTGCCTGGGACCGGGGTCTTGCCAGAACGGGATGGGCAACGGAGACTCGTAGCTCTCATTCACCCTTCTTTTCCTCTTTGGGGCATGGAAGACTGCTTCTGCCATTCTTCAGGGCTGTGTTCTTTAGAGAGCAGACAAGGAAAAAGAAAAGCAAACAATAATGACATGGAAAACCTGAGCTAAGATTCCCAGGCTCGGGGGAGGGAGGGGGGAAGGAGAAGGATTGGGATGGGGGGAGGGGGGAGGCTGGGAAGGGATGGGAAGGGTAAACAAAGGAGGAGGCTGCAATGCTTGGTAAGAAATGTACGCATTATCCTGCCCATGCAATTGTAACCCCTCTGTACAGTATGTTCACAAATAAAATAAAATAAAAAAAAAAAAAAAAAAAAAAAAAAGATTCCCAGGCTCCAGCACCTTCTGTCTGTGAATTACATATGTATCCAATAATGAGCTGGAAGACAGGACTGGCCGGTACAAGTGAGACACCAGGACATTGCTCTCCAGCTCGGGACCCCAAGAAGTCACTGGTGGTGTTTCCAAGGAAAGGTGACAACATGGAGGCCTGGCTGTGAAGTCACAGAGCTGGGTCTCCTGGGACAAAGGCCCCACGACCAACGCCCAGCAGGATGGCGCCTGCCCGGCCTCCCGCGCCGCCTCAGCCGGGCGCCCACCGGGGGGGCTTTCAGGCGCCCACCGGGGGGCTTTCAGGCGCCCACCGAGGGGCTTTCGGGGCCACTGGGCTCTTCTCAGTGCCACCTTCACAGCTTGGCCTGAGTCCTCCCTGACCTAAGTCCTCCCTGACCTGAGTCCTCCCTGACCTGAGTCCTCCCTGACCTGGATACAGCATCCAGAATTTAAAAAACAAACTGACAGCTCACTTCAAGACGTTCCAAGAAACCCAACAACTGAACTGTGCCCCTAGATTCGGATCCAAGAGAAGTGAGCTCCCGTGTCTATGGAAACATTTGTACATGAATACTCAGAGCTGTGTTGGTCATAACAGCCAAAAAAGGAGAAAACGTCCAAATGTCCATCAAGAATGACTGACAAACTATAGGTGGTCTATCCTCGCAATGGCATATTATTTGGCCACAAAAAGGAATGCGTTCAAATACATTCAACATGGATGAGCCTTGAAACCATTAGGCTAAGTCAAAGACACAGATGGAAAGGACCGAATGGGAGGCCTTAATATAGAGCATCCAGAATAAGCAGACTCTGTGATGGCAGGTGAGTGGCTACCTGGCTGAACAGAGAGAAGCGGCAGTGACTGAAAACAGATGAGGTTTATTTTGGGGTGATGATATGTTCTAAAATTGGATCATAGGGCTGCTGCCCATCTTTAAACCCTAAGGCTGCTGAACTGTACATTTTAAAAGGGTAAGTCAGAAAGTATTTTTTGTGTGTTTCTGTGTGTATATATATATATATGTGTGTGTGTGTGTATATAAATAGAGAAAGCAAAGCCACGTGCACATGTGCATGCTCACACTATTTGGGGTTGATGGCATGGCTCTGGTCATAGAGTGCCAACCAACAAATGAAAGCAAGCATCAGGTACTGAGTTTGAGTGCTGGACTTAGGACAAAAAAAAATCCCCCCCAACCCCCCCCCAATAAACCTTCTGGGTGCTGGTGACTCACACCGGTAATCTTAGCAATTTAGGAAGCTGAAATCTGAGGATCACAGTTGGAAGGCAGCCCAGGCAGGAAAGTTCATGAGACTCTTATCTCCAATGAACTATCAAAAAGCCAGAAGTGGAGTTGTAACTCAAGTGGTGTAGCGCCAGGCTTGAGCACAAAAGTTCAGGAACAGCACCTGGGTTCTGAGCTCAAGCTCTAGGGACTAGCCGGGCGCTGGTGGCTCACGCCTGTAATCCTTGCTACTCAGGAGGCTGAGATCTGAGGATCGCAGTTCAAAGCCAGCCCGGGCAGGAGAGACAGTGAGACTCCTATCTCCAATAAACCACCAGAAAACGGGAAGTGGCGCTGTAGCTCAAGTGGTAGAGCGCTGGCCTTGAGCTGAAGAGCTGAGGGACAGCGCCCAGGCCCAGAGTTCAAGCCCCACGGCTGACCAAAAAAAAGAAAGAAAGAAAGAAAGAAAGAAAGAAAGAAAGAAAGAAAAACTGAGCTGGGCGCTGGTGGCTCATACCTGTCATCCCAGCTACTCAGGAGGCTGAGATCTGAGGATGGTGGTTCAAAGCCAGCCCAGGCAGGAAAGTCCATGAGACTCTTACCTCCAATGAACCACCAGAAAACCGAAGTGTGTAGAGCGCTCGCCTTGAGCTGAAGAGCTCAGAGTTCAAGCCCCAGGACCGACCAAAAGGAAAAAGAAAAACTGACCACTGCAAGGGTCGGTCCTGCCTGGGGGGGCGGGGGGGGAGGCTCCTGAGACGGAAGGGCCCTCCCTCACAGGCAGGGTTCCTGCTCCACGGAGGGCAGCTGAGCAGACACCCCAGGCGTCCAGTTTCCCCACAAGAGGCTGTCCCGGGCCGAGGCGGGAGGCGGAGGGCGGAGGGCTGTGTCTCCGCAGCCACGGGCAGTGGGGAGGGCGACCACGGGTGCGGGGAGCATCCATCCACCATCCCGGGTCGGGAGAGGCCCCGGACGGGGTGCACGCACGGGTGCGGGGAGCATCCATCCACCATCCCGGGTCGGGAGAGGCCCCGGACGGGGTGCACGCACAGGCACGTCTGGCGGGAGAGGCTGCCCACGGGCCGCAGGGAAAGTGAGGCCCGGAGAGCCCGAGCCGCGGGCCGGGG